GTGGCCCAGAGAGGCGGTGGAGGCCCCATCCCTGGCAACATCCCAGGCCAGGCTGGACGGGGCTCTGAGCACCCTGGGCTGGTTAGAGCTGTCCCTGCTCGCTGCAGGGGTTGGGCTGGATGATCCCTAAAGGTCCCTTCCAACCCAAAGCATTCTGTGATTCTATGAAAATATGAAAAGTTAGACTGTAAAGCAGTTTTCTGGCCTATAGTAATTTGACTTGCTGTAAAAAGCATTGAAGTAATTCTTGTGGAGTTAAGTCCTGCTACTTCTAAAATTAATTTAGAAGAAAATGAGGTAAAAATCCTTCCAGTGACTTCAAAGTTTCAGGATCATATCTGTATTCCCACTTCCATATGTTTCTTTTCTTGTCTTATTTTTGCTTCTGGATCTAAAACAGTGGTCCTCAGTAGCTGAGCCTTGTGAAATCTCCCTTTGAACTGGCAAGTCACTTTTGCTTAAGATGCTTACTAGGCAGTGCTTCATCTTGCACTTGCAGCATGTGGAAAATGGTTTAAAATTGAAAGTGGATTTTTCAGATCTCAGCATATTTGACTGCACAAACAATAGTAACCGCTGCTTTTACCTCTTGCTGCTGGTAATGTTCTGTTTCTGTGTATTAAAACACTTATTTAATGAAATGAGTTTTTTGTATATAAGAATTTCTTTTGTTTAGTCATTGCTTTTAATTATTCATTCCATTATGTACACTGGTTTTTAATTCTAGCTTTTTATTACAAAGAATGAGAAGGGGAAGTAACAGCTTCATAGATTCCCAGTACAGTATATTATATAAAAGAAAATTATATTCCAGCTACAGTGGTAGCTGGAAATTACCAATGGCACCAAGTAAAAGCTCGACGTTTACAAAAAGTAACAGGCAAGAAGTCTTAATTGCAAATCAATCAATAAAATAAAATGCATCAAATTTCATTAGCTTCCTTTCTGCCTTTTTAAAGATAAAATGCTTTGAACTGAATAACAGCTTTCTGGAACAGCAAAGGTGAATGTTATTTTATATGTTACTCACTTCATAAAGCTGAAAACATTTTCAGATACTGGAACTTTTTAAACTAAAACAATTATTTTACATCTAGAAAGCATCTAAGCAATTCCACAGATTCCTTTCATCTGCATCTTCCCTCCAGGACTGTGTTATCCTTGTGTTTGTTGTTTGCTATCCTTTCACCTAAAGGATTTATTTTTTTCCCCACAACAGCTTGCTATCTCATACTTTGGGATTTCATTATTAAAATAATATCTTGAATACTCTGGTTGTGCTTGGCAAGGCCCACACTTCTATGAGGTATGAGGTATGCTCTTATAGTGAACATTCCTGTAGTTGAGAAGTGTAAAATATTTCAGAAAAGTCTATGCCTGCTTATACACAGACGTCAGACTTAGGTCAACTGTCAAATATCAGAAGTACCTCTTAAATTGTGCTGAAGCTTAAAGTACTGGATTCAGTTGATGACTTACAGTATTGAGGACAGGTTATCATAAGCCATCCATGTAGAAATTACGGTAATAAAAGGTTAATTTTTTTCCCTCTTTTTTTTTTAATTTCTGATCCACCTTTTTTCCCCTATTTTCTCTGGTAAATGATTGGAAAAAAAAAGTTCTTTGACAATGCAGTTGCCAAATCATTATAATTATTAATAGAGTTACAATAGTAAGTGGCTTATGTTACCATAACTGAAGCTAGTTTTGCGAGGTCATGTGCAAATCCATATGAATGTACAATCCAGCACAAACTTTTCCAAGGGTTTTGACACCTTCCTTTAACCCACAGATACATATTATTGGTTGCGGCTGCTACTATATCAAAATGGTTTGTTACAGCCTTCTACAGTACTTGCAGTAGAGTCTGTAGAAGGGGACACACGCGCATGTCTCGGGCGCTGCAGTGGACCTGAAAGAGGGTGCGGTTCAACGTCTGGACTTTGCATCAAAATGGTTGAAACATTCACACGCTCCTATTTTGCGGACTTAGGGAGTAAGAGCTGGCATACAGACGGGTGTCAGCAATGCTGCCTTTAACTGCTACAATCTGATTCATTGGCACTGTGCTGGCAACGTCTGAAGAGTCAGTTGCTCTTTCTGTAGCCTTTAACAATTTCTGTATCCGTAGGGCTGGTCTTTTGCCAAAGTAATGCCTTTTAATTGGGGTTTTTTTTCTGACTTCTCTTTTCTGCTGCTTATTGTATGTTTCTGTTCTTCAGCTTTTCAACTTAAGATTCCTCGTATGAGCAGTATCTGGTATTATAATTTACAGAGTACCACCTTAACAAGAATGGTACTGCATCTTAAAACTATGAGCACTCTCTGTTTTAGCCAAGCTAGGAGCCTTGAATGGCCCTCTCTCAATGCAGAATACTCCCGGTTTGCATGGGAACAGCAGAGAAACTTTTTTCCAGCTCCTAGCTTTACTTCAGGGCACTTGACACACTTGCAATTTCCATTGTGATATAACCTCTTTAATGTTTGGATACCGTATTTATTTGCCACAGTAATGTCTCAAATGGAAAAGAAAGTAAAACTGAGAAACATATTGTAAAAGCTATCTTGAACGTAGATCATTGAAAGGTAACATTTGCACAAAACAGTTTTGGTGGTTTAAATCTTTCTCATGTGTCCCGTGAGCTTACCACCTCATTTCATCAAGCTTCCTGTTTGTGCCACAGTAAATCAAAATTTGCTTAGGGTAAATGTCTAAGGAAAAATTTTATATCTTTAGATAGAGAAGTTAGTATGGTTACAGATACTACCTTACACTTATATTTAATAAGCATAGCCATATAGATTCAGCCCAGGTAATGGATGGCCTCTGAGCTCTGTCTTCCTTCTGGTAGAGTTCATGTCTCTGACAGCTGGAGACCTGCCAGGAAAACACTTGCAGCATCGCATAGCACAGTTCAGGAGGGCAGGAGCTCAACATCAAACCTCCTTGCACTTACTATAAACACATACGTGGGTGCTAAACTAATTCAGGCATTTCTAGAGTTGGGATGGTTGCATAAGCATTTTTAGTATCTATTGTATGAGAATATTTCAGATTTGTTTGTTTCTCTAATACAAAAACCTCAAATCACAGTCCTAGGAAAACTGAAATTGAACTGACTTTCACATCCATGTGATGGACTGGATATGAGGATGAGAGGAAGTGATCATTAATCTTCCTCTTGCCATCATCTTCTCTGTCTATAGATTTCAGTTGTGTCGAGACAGCCCTGTAAGTATTAGATGAGAAGCTTTGATTTGGCCTTTAAAAGACATTTTTTTCTTCTTTTACTTTAGATTTGGTGTTAAAAAGAAACCAATTTACATAAATGTCATAAGAGATCCTATAGAACGACTAGTTTCTTATTATTACTTTCTGCGCTTTGGAGATGACTACAGACCAGGGCTACGGAGGCGAAAGCAGGGGGATAAAAAGGTAAAGTACACTTTATTATGTATGTTGTTCTTACTAAAGTTAATGAGAAGACAATTTTTAAAAATGTCCTGATAAAAGCTGAATAGTTCTTGTATCAGCCTTGGTGATGACTGTGGCTTTGTAAGTTACATTCTGCCCTTCGTGTCTGTACTGGACCAGAGTGTAACATTAAGTATGTTCTTCGTAACTTTATAAATTCACTTGATGTTGCAATTTGTTAAAAAAATTAAATAAAATTTTAAAATGTTTTCAGGTGTCCAGAATTGTAAGTATCAAGTTAAGCTTATGCTCCTGTGTCAGAAATCTGTATCTCTTCTTGTTGAAGACTGAGAGATAATTTTTTTTTTTTTTTAACTAAAAGCTGTAAAACTGCTGATGCTTTGGCTTTGTTTATTTTTTATTATTAGCAAGCCTAATTTTTTTTTTAATGTAAATATTGCAATGGAATTGTAAAAAGAATCTGCTTGAAAACTGTGGAGTATGAATCATACGTTTCTATACTTCCTCCATCTGTCTTAGGTGGCTATAGGAGTAGTTCAGGTTGGCATATTCAAACCTTGATTGCTAATACAGTTTCAGAAAGGCAAGATCATTTAGGCTCCATAATATATTTATTCCAGAAAGAATTTATACATCCACTGTCATGGTTTGCAGTAAGCCATTTGTCGGAGCATGTTGCTTTGGACTTTTCTTAAATCAGGAAGAAAAGTAGGGTATTAAGTATATGAATATAATTAGAACAGTGTGGAAGCTTTTGTAAAACGTAAGGGGTTTTTGTACTTTACGGAGCCAAATGCTTTTTAAAATTTCAGTGGCAGTATTTTCTTAAACTGATGAAATTTTTCTGTAACGTTGACAATTTAGTGTAGCACTGTGTGAATACCAAGAGACACTGAAAAAATAACTAAGCAAAAATCACACTGAATACAGCTTGGTGTATAAACACCATAAAACTAATAAATGTGAATAATCATTTTGTGTGTTCCCCCCCATCCAAATAATGTTTTTTAGATACTGGGAGCAGACTGTTCCTCTTTTCTTTCCAGCTGATAACTAACTGCTCCTCTGTTATTTAGGGTTTGGCGCCATCTTCTGCTACTGCATTTCAGTTTATCCAGACATGCTGCAGCATAGGTAGAGGAAAGCTTCAAGCAGAACAAATTGAAATTAAGCTTTAAAAAATGTATCTTCAGAGAACTGGCTACAGAGATGATTTGGTGATATGGTATCATAAAGGCATTTTTAAAAAGAGAGATAGGATCTCATATTTTGTAACCTACTCTGTTCCTTTTCATGAGGAGCATGATTTGGCCAGTGGAATTCCTTCCTGATGGGGATCAATGAGTTGGAAAGCTGAGCATGCCACCAAGTCCAAGCTGTTTATAGGACTTAAATTTCACTCTTTTTAACAAGTATTAACAGCGTTGTTTTAGTTTTGAAATATAATCCAAACAGCCTTGTTAGGTAGTCGCTGGGAACATTAAGCCAAAATCCCTAATGCTACTGCTTGGTGGACTGCACTGTAAGCTCTGGTTTGCTGGAAGAAGTTGAAATGCATTCCTGTTTATAATGTTCATAATGCTTTGCATTAATAATTTTATGTTTTTCTATTAAAGATGCTTTTTTCTCATTTTGTTGCTATCATACTACTTTATTTAGGTCTGAGATTTAGTTATTGCCGTTCAGATTTAACTTGTCCTGTAAGCACCTCTAGTTCATTTGAGGTTAAATTGTTTTGCTATGCCAAGTTTTAGGATTTCTTTCATTTAAATCAGATAATACTATTCTTCCGTGGTGTTTCCAAGAAAACTGTATGTATATAGATGGTGTCTGTTTTACATACATTAGATAGTAAATTCAGTAAGCTCAACAATGGATTGACCCAATTGCAGTGTCTATAACACTGATATCTATTCTAATGTGTGTTACAGTAGATTCACTAAGAGCTCTTCAAATGAAAAGTAGGGAAGGTCAAAAATGCAATCTTTCTAATGGAAGTCAATTGTTCCTTTATTAAGTGGAAAGAAATCTCAACGTACTTTACACCCTCGCCCCCTCCCAGTTCATACCACAGCATTTGTACGGAAGAGTTCTTCATTCATTTTCTTTCTATATTCCTGTGCTTCCAAAGTTATAGATAGCTTGGCTCCAAGAACACAGTCTGTAAAGACAAGTGTTTCTTACAATAAAATCTCTGGATGGAGTAGTCAGGGTAAGTATATAAGAGGAAGTGGTGAAGGAGGCCTGTCCTATTTCATCTCACTTAGAAAATTGCTAGCTTTTGCGTACCAGCTATAAAATAATCTGCAGGTATAAGCAAAGAAGTCTTTCTTTTGTCAGATGCCAGTTCATATTTAGTATGTACATTCATAAGTCAGGAGGTGCATTTAAACAATTTAGTTTTTAGGTAATGTTGGTGTTGTGAAGTACTCATGATAGATCAGTGCAGAATTTCGTTAGAGAATTGTGCTAGAGAAAGCATACCAGTATCTTGTTTTCCTAGTTAAGCTGCATTTTTATCTGTGATATGTGACATGCACGAGCTATTCTAAACTCAAAGTGCAGTGTGGACCAAGACACCACAGGTTAATCCCTGCTTTGGCCTGATATCAGTAAGTTTTTCAGATTATCTCAGGAACTTCACCTCACAACAGAAGCAAAGGATGTTGTCCTAACACCAAATAGTTAAGCAAATGTATTTTTACATAGCTGTTTTGAACAGAAACTTGTCATTTTACAGAAGAAACAGTCTAAAAAGTTGTCTATGTGATCACTTATTTGTTATTAAATAATTTTAAAAAAAAATCTATCCTAGATACATGGTTTATATTTCGATTAGAAATATCATAAATGCTTACTTTATGGTGACTGGGTAAAATATTTACAAATTCTTTCCAATGCTAGTGGAGTTCTTACTGTAACTGTGTTACTGCAGTTGAAACTCTGTCGTTACAGCTGTCTGTCCATGCAGAGCGATGTTGTATGGAATATTCTGTTATTGCTGAACAACTTGCTTTTACTTCTTCTGATTGCCAAAACCAAATTGGCCTCTGAAATGGCAGTTATTTGTCATAATATTTAAAATGTAAAACCCACAAAATCCACCATGTTCTACGGTATAAAGATGCAGCTGTTCCAGCATCACACGAATACTGATGGCATTTGACGCTGTATCTTTAGTGACTTCTTTTGTAAAAATAATACCAACAGTTACTGACTGGTTTTGCTTGTTTTGACATCTAGCCTTTTTCAAGGTTATATCAAAGGTATATCAAATATATCAGGTAAGATCAAATTGTTCATTAGTTGTAATAATAAAAGACTGTCCAAATACTATTTTGAGACAAATAAGTCCTCCTAATAAGACTGTGAAAGCAAGACTTGAAAAAATCCCTTTTTTCTTTCACATCATATGTTGTGTTTTTCTGTCCACACTACATTTAGCAACTAACCAGGTTGGTTGATACACACACTAGATTTTACAGCTCAGCTCAATTTTGTCTTTGTTCCAGACCTTTGATGAATGTGTGGCAGCTGGAGGTTCAGACTGTGCTCCAGAGAAACTTTGGCTTCAAATTCCGTTCTTCTGTGGCCACAGCTCCGAATGCTGGTAGGGAGATAAATGTAGCTTAAGTTGTTAGTCAAGTATATCAGCGCTGAAATCTAAACTTAACAAATTTGAATGTTGTGGTGGGTTGACCCTGGCTGGATGCCAAGTGCCCACCAAAGCTGCTCTATCACTCCTCAACTGGACAGGGGAGAGAAAATATAACGAAAAGCTCGTGGGGTGAGATAAGGACAGGGAGATCACTCACCAATTACAGTCACGGGCAAAACAGACTTGACTTGGGGAAAATCAGTTTAATTTATTACCAATCAAAACTGAGTAGGAGAGAGGAGTGAGAACATGTGTAGGGTAATGAGAAATAAAACCAAATCTTAAAACACCTTCCCGCCACCCCTCCCTTCTTCCCAGGCTCAACTTCACTCCCGATTTCTCTACCTCCTCCCCCTGAGCAGTGCAGGGGGACGGGGAATGGGGGTTGGGGTCAGTTCCTCACATGTTGTCTCTGCTGCTCCTTCCTCTCCATGGGAGGACTCCTCACACTCTTCCCCTGCTCCAGCATGGGGT